GTTGAGTGCGGTGTGCAGTTTCCCTCTCTGTGGTGCTGTGAGTTTCCTCTCTTTGTTGGTGCTGTGTGAGTTTGCCCTCTCTTTTGGTCTGCAGTGTGAGTTCCCTCTCTTTTGGTGCGTGTGAGTTTCCCTCTCTTGTGGTGCGTGCTGAGTTTCCGCTCATCTTGTTGGTGCGTGTGCAGTTTCCCTCGTCTTAGGTGCCGTGTGAGTATTTCCCTCTCTGTTGCGTGCGTGTGAGTTTCCCTCTCTGTTGGTGCGTGAGAGGTTTCCCTCTCTGCTTGGTGCGTGAGGTTTCCCTCTCTTTTGGTGCTCGTGTGAGTAATCCCTCTCCTTTTGGGTGCGTGTGTCAGTGGTCCCTCTCTTGGGCGTTGCGGTGTGGAGTTTCCCTGCTCTTTTCGTGCGTGTGAGTTTCCCTCTCTGTTTGGTGCGTGTGAGTTTCCCTCTCGTTTTGGTGCGTGTGAGTTTCCCTCTTTTTGGTGCGTGTGAGTTTTCCCCTCTCTTTATGCGTGCTGTGAGTTTCCCTCCTTTTGGTGCGCGTTGAGTTTCCCTCTCTTTTGCGTGGCTGTGAGTTTGCCCTCTTTTTGGTGCGGTGAGTTTCCCTCCCCTCCTTTTGGTGCGTGTGGAGTTTCCCCCTCTCTTTTTGTGTTGGACTCCGTGTGAGTTTCCCTCTCTTTTGGGTGCGTTTTGTGAGTTTCCCTCTCTTTTTGGTGCGTGTGAGTTTCCCTCTCTTTTGGTGCGTGTGAGTTTCCCTCTCCTTTTGGGCGTGTGAGTTTCCCTCTCTTTTGTCGTGCGTTGTTGAGTTTCCCTCTCTTTTGGTGCGTGTGAGTTTCCCTCTCTTTGTGGTGGCGTGTGAGTTTCCCTCTCTTTTGGTGCGTGGGAGTTTCCCTCTCTTTTGGTGCCGTGTGAGTTTCCCTCTCTTTTGGGATGCGTGATGAGTTCCCTCTCTTTTGAGTGCGTGTGAGTTTCCCTCTCTTTTTGCGTGCGTGGATTTCCTCTCTTTTGGTGCGTGTCTGAGTTCCCTCTTTGGTGCGTGTGAGTTTCCCGTCTCTTTTGGTTGCGTGTGAGTTTTCCCTCTCTTTTGGTGCGTGTGAGTTTCCCTCTCTTTTGGTGCGTGTGAGTTTCCCTCTCTTTGGGTGCGTGTGAGTTTCCCTCTCTTTTTGGTTGCGGTGTGAGTTTCCCCTCTCTTTTGGTGCGTGTGAGTTTCCCTCTTCTTTTGGGCGGTGTGACGTTTCCCTCTCTTTTGGATGCGGTGTGAGTTTCCCTTCTCTTTTGGTGCGGGTGAGTTTCCCTCTCTTTTGGTGCGTGTCATGTGGGGAGGTTCCTCTCTTTATGGGTGCGTGTGAGTTTCCCTCTCTTTGGTACGTGTGGAAGCTTCCCTCTCTTTTGGTGCGTGTGAGTTTCCCTCTCTTTTGGTGCGCGTGTGACGTTTCCCTCTCTTTTGGTGCGTGTGAGGTTCCCTCTCTTTTGGTGCGTGTTGGTTTCCCTCTCTTTTGGTGCGTTGTGAGTTTCCCTCTCTTTTGGTTGCGTGTGAGTTTCCCTTCTCTTTTGCGTGCGTGTGAGTTTCCCTCTCTTTTGGAGCGTGTGAGTTTCCCTCTCCTTTTGGGTGGCGTGTGAGTTTCCCCTCTCTATTTGCGTGCGTCTGTGAGTTTCCCCTCTCTATTGAGTGCGTGTGAGTTTCCTCTCTTTTGGTGGTCGTTGAGTTTCCCCTTCTCTTTTGGGTGCGTGTGAGTTTCCCCTCTCTTTTGGGTGCGTGTGAGTTTCCCTCTCCTTTTGGTGCGTGTGAGTTTCCCCTCTCTTTTGGTGCGCTGTGAGTTTCCCTCTTCTTTTGTGCGTAGTGAGTTGTCCCTCTCTTTTGGTGCGTGTGAGTTTCCCTCTCTTTTGGTGCGTCGTGAGTTTACCCTCTCTTTTGGTGGTGTGAGTTCCTCTCTTTTGTGCGTGTGAGTTTCCCTCTTCTTTTGGTGCGTGTGAGTTTTTCGCCTCTCTTTTGCGGCTGCGTGTGAGTTTCCTCTCTTTTGGTGCGTGTGCAGTTTCCCTCTCTTTGGCTGCGATGTGAGTTTCCCTCTCTTTTGGTGCGTGTGAGATTTCCTCTCTTTTGGTGCGTGTGAGTTTCCCTCTCTTTCTGAGTGCGTAGTGAGCTTTTCCCTCCTTTGGTGC